AGGTCAGCCCAGCTTGTGGCTAAGTGGAGCTCCCACTGTGGAAGCACACTGACCACCAGGGGGCAGCTCCTGCGCTGAGCGTCTGCCCCCTTGTGGTCAGTGTGTGTCATAGTGACCAGTCATTCCCAGTCGTTCTGCTGTTAGGGTCAGTTTGCATATTACCTTTTTATTATATAGGATAGGAGAAGCATAAAAAAAGGAAGCCAGACATGCATGTCACTGTACAGCTTCACCAGGAAGCTGCAATTTCGCACTCCCAGGGAACCACTGGCCCATTCCCCACAGATCACTAGGGGAAGAGGTCCAACAAAAGGAGCTAGATGCAAGCCCAATGAAGTTGGGGTGATATAGGGAAGGTACTTGCCTGTCAGTCAAACCTAGAAGCAGAGATTATTGGCCAGAATAGGCAGAGCCACTGCAAGCACATGAAAATTCGGGAATACATAGTACCCTAAACAAAGGAGTTTGCTCTCTTGTTGCTCTCGGCTCACTCTTGACCCTCTTGTATTCGCCCATACGGCCATGGTCATGTGGACCCCACAGGCAATGGACTAATGGACTGCAGCAGGGAGCACAAGTCAAGTTAGCCTGATGCTGGGCTGGAGTGTGCAGACACAGATGGAAACCCTGGACATCTGGACACTGGCTCTGATTTCAACTCTGCTGAAATGAAAGCCACGCCACTATGGCAGGGCTGAGGGAGAGGGGTCCTTGGAAACTCAGGGATTTAATTCCATGCAAATAAGAAATTACTTGTTCTCCGTGCAAGTCTGAGAAAACCCTTTTTCTCAGGATATTGCAAGAAACCCACTCCTACCAGCAACCGGCAGAAATGAGGACCTCTCCCCATGGCCCTAAGTGTCTTATGTAATATTACCTGCAAATTATAACCTAATGAAATTCTGGCTTTTGTGCATATTGGATTGTAATGCAGCGCTTTCAGAAAGTCCTTCTGTGCTTCTTTGACACCTTCATCGTGACCATATTCCATGTAAGAATTTCCCCGTCCAATGTAAGCATCCACAAAACAGGGATTAATACTAAGAGCCAATGTGAAGAAAGTGACAGCTTCTGCAAACTCTTTGTTTCTGAAAATAAATAAAATTATTTATGCTTTCTGTTGAGTTACCTAAGTACTTTCCTGTATATAACATTTTCATAAAGATTTACATTAACCCTTACAAAATATTTTTCACTTTTATTGTCTATCCATATAGGAAGTAAGAACATGAGTCCATATGACCTCAGAAAGGCTGAAGGGGTATTTGAAGATTCTGGTAAAAGGGAAAAAGGGAGGTAAGAGCCATCTTCATAGCAGAATATGCTGGGATAATATTCTAGAGTTCTTTTTTCAGAATTACAAAGGGCTGCATGGCATCCCTGAACCTGTTTTTAATAGCTATCTGTGGCCAATATGGGGGTTGGGGGGGAATGTATATAAATGGAATACACTATTTAAAGCAGATTATAATAAATTTATATGTATTTAATATTTCCTTATACAACAAAAGGAACCAAAATGTTATACATGGGAGTCCTTACTTCAGATCTATAAAGATAGGCCCTTTCTTTTTGGACACCAAGAGAAAAGGGGAAAAGAAGAAAAATGCATTTTATTTATTAATTTGTAAAAATATTTAGCTATTATGCTAAGTGAAATAATCCAGTCAAAGAAAGATAAATATCACATGATCTCACTCATTTGTGGAATATAGAGAACAACATAGACTGATGAACAGGGACAGACCCAAAGACTGAGAAACAGCGATCAGACTATCAATCCTCAGAGGGAAGGCAGGGGAGGTGGGGGTGAGGGGAAGAGATCAACCAAAGGACTTGTATGCATATATATAAGCCAAACCAATGGACACGGACAACAGGGTGATGAGAGCATGAGTGGGGGGGAGGGGGTGTTAATGGGGGGATGAGGACACATTTGTAATACCCTAACCAATAAAGAAATTAAAGATAAATATATATATATATATTTAACTAAATAATAACTCAGTTTTTCTTCCCTATTTATTCTCTTGTGGTACGGGTGAGGGCTGATAAGGGAATCAATATGTTTCATAAAGGAATCACTTTTCCATCTCATATGCATATCTAGTGATTACATTTAATCTCAATTAGCCTGGAGAAAGCCATTTTTCTATACCTATCTAGTTATCAGCACTAGCATATGAGCATCTAGTCTGTTTCAACTAAGTAAATAATCATTAAACTTTAACATGGAAAGGGACCTTGACAATCACCTACCAACACTTCAAAGCAGGTGACAACTAAAAATCAAGTCCAGGGGAAGTGACAGTGTCAAAGCCAGAGACACCCAGCTCCCCGCATCAACACAGAAATGATGCAGGTGCCATAATAGAAACAGCAATTTCATGTTTCTGAAGATGAGTATATCACAGTGTCCTGTAGATTGAAGCTCTTGTTAAATGATCACATGGCAGTTAGCAATGAAAAAATGTATAATGTCAGGATACATGTTCATCAATACATAAAAGTCTTCGGTATCAGTTACCACAAATATAAAAGTGTATTAAATTCGTTTTTCTAAAATAAGATGTGTTTGTATAAATAATGTGATCACTGACAGAGGTGTGTCTTCTCATCAGCGCCCATCCTTAAGTCAGGACTGTGAGCTGAGCTTGCAGTCTGGGCCACAGACGGAGGCCACCACATTTTCTAAATTAATCACCTACGTGCCCAGATGTGCCCTACTGAGTTGTACAAATAAATCATAAATACCTCCCCACACTAAAGAATGTGGCTTGCAGAGTCAAAGTTTCAAAAATATTGTATGCAAACAGAAGAATAGTAAAATCAATGTTCTGAGGTAAAAAAAAAAAAAAGTGGCTAGGATATGTACCTCTGCGTAATCATGCTCTCCCTCTGTGACTTTTTTTTCATATGACAATGGCTTTCATAAAGGGATCTAAAAATTAACTGTGGCACAACACTCTTTGTGACCAAATTGGGCAACAAGTAGATATTCAGCCTAAGGAATGTTGTCTCCTAGCAACCACAGGAGTGAGAACCAGAGTTATACAAAGGCATACTTCAAAAGTCTGCAACTCCCTGAGTTCAAAGATCAAGCCCTAAATTTCAAATATTTATTCCTTTTTAAAATTGTTTTCCAATTGGGAAAATTTTTACTTTCCCCACTATAAGATACCAGTAATGAATCTCCAATACTAGGTAACTGTGCTGCTGTGATATAAGTATGTTATAGATAGACTACCTTGAAAAGCAAAATATTTTTCCTGAAATAGATATAATGAATCACTAAATATTTCTTATTGTTAAATTCAGTAAAACTGTTAAAACTCAAAACACATGAAACTGGGACTGTCAGTTATTAGGGCTTTACCAGTGATTTAAATTCTACTTTTATTAAAGGACAATAGAGATTCTAATCAACTGATATAAGTTGGTTATTTGGAATTGCAAAGCAGTATCAGCTTAAGAAGGCTCCGCCATGTAGTATATCCAGTGATTACAATTCATGAAAGGATTGGGAACAGACACAGAGAAATTTACTGACTCAGTTGCTAAACACAGGAATGAGTATGGGAGAAATTTTGGAGTCTGTTTTTAATTTAAGAGAATGCAATGACCTCAGACATTTTTGGTCTATACTCACCCACCAAAACAAACACATCAGTCATCATTATTCCATCTCTTTTCAAGAATGGCAATTACTTAAAGAGATGGATTGTACAAAGGTTGCTAGAGTAAAATAGAAAATGGTGTGACTATGTTTTGCTGTTTATATAAAATAAAGGTCCCAATTTAGGCCTTTAAACCCAAAGACATCTTCACAAGTTTCAGTTATTACAGTATTATGTTCATAAAATAAAAAATCTAACTTTCATAGGGAAATGTAGCTGTGCTGTGTTCTAAAAAGGAAAAAAAGAAATATTTATTTCCTAAATAATTCAAAATTGGATTTTTATACAGCCTAGTCTGTATAGTTTATGAACTATCCTAATTTCCCCTCCAATTAATTGCTATTATTTCTGTCTTAAAAAATAATACTGTAAACTACTACTTAACCAAATATATTTTATTTCACATTAAAATCTCCACATGCAGAATCTCTATACTTTTAAATGCAACATGACCAGAAACTAATTTTAGGTGTTAAATGTATATGTAGAAATGTAAAACTTATAATTAGTACAAATCTATGTAAGGTTATCTCAGAACAAATTATAAAGTGATGTTCTGTATTTTAGCCTATGTAACTGTCCTCTTCTCCCCTACTATAACTTGACTTACTCTTACAGTAATCTCAGAAGCAGGTAATAATGTCTTAAGTAATATATTTTTGTAGACTTTATTGTATTTTGTATATGTTTACGGGTATTATTTTAGTTATAGATTTAGAAATATGTTTTCTAAATGCAAAATTTTTTGAAAATATTTAATTTTTGAAATCACCCTCTCTTGTAGGAAACAGGCTTTTTAAAGTTTAGTTTCATTTTAGGAACAAAAATGATCACTTAATTTTATTCTTAGATGTTTCAAGCTGTGCGTGATTTTATTCTGTGTATCACTCAGGTCTTTTTCCCCAGTAAATGGGCTTGAATCAGTGGGTATCCAATGCCAGGATGCAGGTATTTGCTTGCAGTCTTGGTTAAAACACCTTATTAGAAGGTAAGAGGGGCCGAAACCGGTTTGGCTCAGTGGATAGAGCGTCGGCCTGCGGACTGAAAGGTCCCAGGTTTGATTCCGGTCAAGGGCAATGGGTTGCGGGCACATCCCCAGTGGGAGAAGTGCAGGAGGCAGCTGATCGATGTCTCTCTCTCATCGATGTTTCTGACTCTCTATCTCTCTCTCTCTCTTCCTCTCTGTAAAAAATCAATAAAATATATTTAAAAAAAGAAGGTGACTCTCTATCTCTCTCTCTCTCTTCCTCTCTGTAAAAAATCAATAAAATATATTTAAAAAAAAAGAAGGTAGGAGGGTGCTGATGACACACCTAGGTGTGATCCCCACCTCTATGCAGGGATTCTTTGTCTCTCCCCATTTTTGTGTCCTGCCACTTCCACATTTTCCTCTTCCTATTCTTCTATTATAATCATTAGATGGTCCCACTTGCTTTCACTGCAATCTAAATTACATACCTGTGATAGCATAAGGCGGTAACTTGACAAAGGTTCACATTAGTCTCGCTCAGCAATGCAGCTTGTTTAAAATCCTGAAACAGTTTCATACATTTTGTTAGTTTTGCAACATTATCCTTTGCACTTTCTTAAACTTTATTCTAGCTGTTGTTCTACCATGAATATACTTAACACAGCATTGACAAAGACATCTTAAAACTTTTTTTTCCTTTTAGTATCACATCTAGTGAGGACGAATGGAGCAGAGGAAACCCATAACTGAAACCTCACTCAGAATATTGTGCTACTGGTCTGCACTTTCCCGGTGGCTTTGCCCTGATGTGTGTAATGAGACCTCATTTACTTTCTTTTTATTGTATTTTTTTCCCTCAGTTTACACCACCAGAGACTTGCCCATCTAGATAGAAATGGAAATTCTCCTATAGAGAAACTTAGACTTTACAGGGCAAACACACACCCAGGCCCAGAAAAGGACATGCATTGGGCCTTTTGTGTGGATTAGCTAAGGCTGCTCCTACCTTTGGAATTCACACTTCTGGGAGAATTCTAGAAGCCTCCTGAGAAGGAGCAATGGAAAACCCCAAGATTATGAGTTTGGAAGTTAGCTGGAATGGCCCTGGGAAAGAGGTTGTTTTAAGAGAATTAAAAGTCTGCGAGAGAGCCTGCCTCTGCGGCCCTGAACACTGTCCTCCATTAGGCTCCAGAGACAGTGTCCAAAGTGCATCAGCTTTTCAAAGACCTACAAAAATATTCGAGGACAGAGGCAAAATAAGAACAGCACTAAATTGAAACTAATAAAATATTTAGATGAATATCTACATATAAAATATCATGTAAACTGCAATGATTCTGCTTTTCCCAAAGGACTGCTTCCGCAGGCACCTTCACTGGCAGTTTTGGTTGTAACCTCAGGTGGCCAAGCTAGAACAGGAGAGTGCTGTCACCTCCTCTGGACTGTCTAAGGGACCCCCCCTCCCCCCAATCCCCTCCTGGAGGCTGGCACCCACTCTCCAGCCTCAGAGGGCCGGTGTCTGAGTTCTGGTGTCCACCCTGGAGGAAGGAGAGGAGCTAACCATAACAGACAGCCTCCCTGTCCCTCTCCCTCCTCATTTCCCTCTTCCTCCTCCCCCTTCCACAAACCTTCCCTGGCTGTAGCAGGGGGAGGAAGCTGGCTAACTTTTCTGCAAACATTGGGAAGTAAGGTCAAGCAGGGTCACTGGAATCCTATTGGAGGAGGAAGGTTTCAGTCAGAGACCAATCTGTAGATATGGAATCACACTTAGATTCCTGAAGTATATTTTGATACGAAAAGGAACTATTATTGGAAGAAAATAAGAAATCTATTGTCTAATCAAATGTAATATAACAAATATGCTACCAGATAAATCCCCCGAATACTGTTTTATTTACTGATTTTATATCCTTACCTGAGGGCATGCTGAGAGGAAGAGAGAGAGAGAGAGAGAGAGAGAGAGAGAGAGAGTTCCTTTCGGAACATGCCCCAACCAGGGATCAAACCCACAACTCAGGCATGTGCCCTGACCAGAAATGGAACCAGCAACCTCTCGGTGCACAGGGAGATGCTCAACCAACTGAGCCAACCTGGACAGACTAAGAGGACTGTTTTAAAGTGGAGGCAAACTTAGTGAAATTGAGATTTATTACAAACGTTCCTATTTATTTATTTTGGAAGTTGTGAGGAGTGATCAAGAACTTAAAATACTGAGAATACCAAGTTCAGTTTTGTAATCAGATACAACTTACAAAAGTCAACCTGACTCGATATGTATAATTATCATCAATAAATATGTGATGACTATTCTCATTACTTAGAATAAAGCTAACTAATTTTTATGATTTTTCCCTTCTGCATTAATTTTTTTCTAATATGAAGATCATAAATAACAAATCACACATAGCCACTCATACACAAAGCAAATTCCTTATTTGTAAGGACCTTCACGCCCACTGTCTTTGTGTCAGAAGACAGACTCTTGACCTTGTTCCTTCCATTCTCCTCTGGAAACTTGCTCCATCATATTCCTGCCTTCTGTATTTTTAATTCTTGTTTCATGCCCTGACCTAACATGCCTTCCACTCAACCTTCCCTGTTACAAACTACACATGGCCCAGTGTTTCTAGTTTCTGTCACCACCAATCTCCTTGAAAGCATAGCTAACACTCATGGTCTCCACACCCCCCAATTCCATCAACTTCCCAGTAATTGTGTCATTTAATGAAGGCCAATTTTATTTTGTAACTTGTAAATTGCATCGAAAGACATTTTTTATTTATTTGCTTTTATTCTTATCAAAGTAGCCCATGTACCAAGTGTATGGTGTCTAATCCAACTAGAAAACTGACGGTGCTTGCAGCAATCCCCTGCTCCACCTCTCCTTGTCCCTGAAGCTCACTCACCAAACACAATTGTTTTTACATCGTGCTGCTATTTACCTTCAAATTTCAAAATAACATGAGAATTGTCATGTTTAACTCCCACATAGGATAGAATTTAGCTATCTTACCCCAGCATTCTGCACATCTCCTTTTCTCCCACCATCCCCCCAAAAATAGTCTCTATTTTACCTCTTAAGTGTAGGATCCTTGGCTGCCCATTCATATTTAAGTTAGAGGCATTAGAATACAGAATGGTAGTTTTAGGTGCCTGAAGATCTCTTCTCTACTATCTTCAACCTTGTGGAATTATATCTTTTTTATTCCTTTACTATCTTCCTAGTAGGTTTTCAAGAGGACAAAGAGATAAACACACGTTCTCAATCCAACCCACTTAACAATTAACTTCCTAAACAATGCCAGTCCAAATGCTGCACTTTACTTCCTGACCAAGGGCTCCTAGGAAGGCCATACAAGGATCAGTTACCTAGTATGTTGTCAGCACTCATCCCACTTGACCTCTCTGTTAATCATTCTCACTAAAAAAATTTCCCCAGGTAAGTGTTAAGATTACTGTCTCCTGTTTCTTCATCTAGCCCTTCCATTATTCAGTCTTATATTTATTCATTGGTTCTTTCTCATTTTTCTAATTTAATTTTTCAAATAATTTTTTATTTACAAAAGGAGACTTTTTTATTAAATGCTTTTAATTTGTGTTTGCAGGGCATATTTTTTCCAGCCTTTTACTTTTCCTATCTATATCAATATATTTAAAGTGTGACTTTTGTAGCCAGAGACTTTTTAAAAAAGTTCTGATCTGACATTTTTATTACCTAAATTGGTCTATTTTTTACCATCCTACTAAATGTCACTCCTAATATGGTTGGATTTAGGTCTACCATCTTATTATTTGTTTTCTTCTGTTTTCCTCTGTTTCCTGTTTGTTTTCCCTGTCCAGGCTTACTGTAATTTTCTAATATTCTATTTTAATTAATCTACACTTTTGTTTTGTTTGTTTGTTTGACTGAGGAGCAAAAACCTGAAATAAAAGACGGGCATGAGTCACACACAGATTAGTAGGGAGAGCATTCTATGTACAGAGAAGAGCTTGTGTGAGGACCCTGGGGCAGGAAGGGAGCCTGGCACTTCCAAGGAAGAGCAAAATGCCAAAGTGGAGGGGCCTGAGTGCAGAAAAGAACAGTGTTTGACAATGAAGTCAGATCAATGAATGATAGATCATGACGGGTCTTCGTTGGCCACAGTCAACAGTGCAAATTTTATTCTAAGTGTGATGGGAAGCCACTGGAGGGTTCTTAGCAGAGGAATAACGTGGTCTGCTTTACCAGGATGTTTTTAAGAGGTCTGTCTGCTGCTGTTTGAAGAACAGCATGTAGAGACAGGGACAAGAGCAGAGGCAGAGAGGCCAGTTGGGAAGCTCCTGATGTAGTCCAGGGGAAAGATGCTTGAGGGTGGAATTAGGAAGATAACAGTGACAAAAAGGAGAAATGACTGAATTCAAAATATGCTTTGATGGCATATTTTGAACTGTTGGATATAGAGTATGAGGAAAGAGAGGGGTCAAGAATGATTTTGGATAGACCATGAGCTCCTCAAGGACAGGAAATCTGCCTTATTTATCTCCACATCTTCAATACATAGGATTTGGAATCAGGCGAGACCTGAGATCAAATCATGCCCTAGCACTTCCTGGATAAAAGACTATTTAACCTCTTTTAGATGAGGAATATCAGTTTCCTCATCTATAAGTTACAATTATAAATTGTGTAGCACTGTTGAGAACCTGGTATATTGATGTTAAATACCAAATAAATATGTGCCTTATAGATAACACAGGCCCTGCATTTAATTATCCAACAGTTGAGGTCTTTGGCTCCCAACCCCCATTTTCCTCACTTCTCTACTCCCAACCCCCATTTTCCTCACTTCTCTACTCCCAACACTGTTCCCTAGAGTTCCTTAGCTTTCTTGCCTACTCCAGACAAAGAAATTCCTTAGCTCCCTCTCTGAGGAAATTCCAAATGGTATTGCCTAAACCTAAAGGAGTTCAACTCTTGGAATTACATTTCATCGTAGTGTAAATTGCGTAGAATCTGGTTTCTCAGACACTTCCTTAACACATTGCAAACCAGTAGCTTTATTGCTAGTTTTACCCAGTGGCCAGGTAAGTTTCTATTGAACGAGTACAAAAAAGTTTTACATAAATGTTAAAGGCACATTTTAAAATTAAATACCCATTGCATTTTGAAGTTATTTATTACATGTTTTTACAAGGCAATGTCTTTTTAAAGTATGATACTTTGTAAAACACTGTGTAATATGAAGCGAGAATTTTCATGATCCATCTGCAAAAATAATAAGTAATTCTGCGGGGCAGAACCTCAAAATCTGACTCCAAAGGTAGAAAAATAATACAAGTCACTTTTGGAGATGAAAAGAATCAGGAAACATTCCATTACATAATGTTCTGTTGTGGTTCCTCAGACACAAAGAAGAAGCA